GGTGTGGTGGTTAAGGCACTGGACACTCCCACATGGCTGACCATGGTTCAAGTCCCGGATGGCTTGCTTTCTCACTTTCTCTCTCTCTCTCTCTCTCTCTCTCTCTCTCTCTCTGTGTGTGTGTGTTTGTGTGTGTGTGTGTGTGTGTGTGTGTATGTGTGTGTGTGTGTTTCTCTGGTCAAATTAAAATAAAATTAAATAATAAATAAAAATTTTAAAAAAACAAACTCAAGCCTGGTGTGTGGTGTGTGTATGTACATGCCCAAGATCTCAAAAGAAGAAGGCAGGAGAAAGGATTGCAGTGTGATCATCCCCCCTGAGGGCGATTTCTCACTTTCCATATCTCTATCTCTCTTTCTGTCTCTCTGGCAAGTGCATATGCCCTACAGTAAAAGTCCCTCAAAAAAAATCTATAAAATTTGTATGTATTTTAAATAAAATTTCCACAGTAGTAAGTCTTCCAAAGCAACAGCAGTTATTATATTTGTTTTGTTGATCTGAGAACAAAATGATGCTTAAGCTAAAAAATAAAATTGTCCACGATCTCCTCACTAGCAGACACCACTGCATCTACCAAACTGGAGAGATAAGGGGACACCTGTGCCCATGGTCTCTTCTGCTGCTTCTGCGGAAGACCTAACCATCCACAAGCACAGTGCTTATGATGGCGAGAGGGTGGAGATTACCAGGCATTAACTGCTTCTAGAAACCAATCCGCAGTGAGTATTTTTGTACTCATAAACATCCCAGACTTGAGGACAAAGAGGAAAAAAATATCCCTAGCCCCGCCACAGGAAACAGGAGATAGAAAGTAGAACTTCTCTTCCCCCTCCCCAGTGGAATGAGAAGAAATTTTGAACTCCAAAAAGAAAATGCTCTCTTCTCTATCTCTCTTTCGTGTTCCAATCACCCAGGTGTTCCAATCACCCGGGTGTTCCAATCTCGGCCTTTCAACTTAAAAGTTCTTTCTATTTCATGTTTGTCAAGTCCCAAGAAATTAAAGTTTGCATGTCATTGAAAAATATGATATGTGTCATATTCCTCAATCTTATATAAAAAGATTAGGTTCTCTGAACCCAAGAGGTAAATGAGTACAGCAGTGACCCCTGCTGTTGTGTACCCGCCCTCATATTGCAGTCTGCATTCATTTCTACTCCACTAAGAAGGGGCAGGAGTTGTATTTAAATGGCAGGTGACTGTGTTGGAGGAGCAAAGTGCTGTAAGGCACAATACTTGGATGAAAGACTGTGAACTCAAGTCATTACCTTTGTTGGCTCCCTTTCCTCTGTCAAAAACTTGCAGAAAGCATTTATACAATCTGAGTTATGAACCCACTCCTGTGCACCAGTTTATTTCACTGAGTGAGTCCCTGTCAGTCATGTTTTGAAGGGCGCAGTCAAGTTGTTGGATCTGACTAATGAACCTTTCCAAATCACTCACACCATTTATTGTAAGCCATGTTAGTCCCACACAGCTAAATTACATATCATTTAATCTCCCAAGGAAACAAGGATCTTAAATAGGTGGGATTTAGCTCTGAAGCAGTCACTTAAAAGTTTACCCTGTAATCTTGATGTTTAGTTAACATTCAGGAAAGAGAATACCCACGAAGGTCATTCGGAGCTGCTCAGCAGGTTGGAACCCAGTAGGTATTAACAAAGAGTATATGATTTTCACACCTATAACTGAAATAACTTACATTTTTAGACTGTTGTGACCAATGCACATAAATGAAATACTGAGTCTGAAGTCTTCTAAGCTACTGTGAATATAGACAAGACTCTGGCTTTATTTTTAAAATGTGACTCAAAATGTTTACCATGTGAAATTTTATCCTCATCTAGGTACAAAGCCATGGATGGAGCACTGTGCGGCACAGAAAAATGGGTCCACCATGGCCCTTTTCCTTTAGGATTCCATATTGTAATGGGGGAGACATTATATAAGGTATATTGAGCAAGAGCCTAGTAGGAAAACCAGATATTTCTGCGAAAGACAAATCTGCATCAGCAGATTAAGGAAGGTAACAGAGAAGTAATGAATCTGAAGCGGAAAGGGGGAATTTTGATTGGGAGTGAATGAAAATGATGACATTCCCATTAGACAAAATAACAACAGCAATGGCATAGAGGCACAAAACTCTTGTAAATGAAGAAACTGTAATTACATCAACTCCTAAATCCCACTTACATTTCCTGCCTACAATATGCTCAGAGCACAGGAATCTTGAGATAAAGAAGCATAATACTACCTTCCCTTCTATACGCTAAATTACATGAAGAATCCCCAAGCACCTTTTATAGCATAGTCAGAAGAAACTATACAGTGTCTTTATTGTTCCACATATAAGCCATCGTAATAGAGCCTTATGGGTCTCTTACATTGGTTCTGAGCTTCCAATTCATTCTATACATTGAGGCCTTATTAATCTTCCCAAAAGCTGCATTACTTCAGGTAAACAGAACTCATGGAGTACAATTTCTAATACTTCTCTAGGGCAGCAGTCTCCAACCTTTTTGACACTGGTGACTAATTCCATGGAAGATCATTTTTCAAAGACCAGGGGGTTAGGAGAAGAGTTTGGGATGATTCGAGTGGATTACATTTACTGTACACTTTATTTCTATTATTATTACATTGTATTATATAATGAAATAATTATACAAGTCACCACAATGTGATATTTGCAGCTACTTCCCAGTGCTAGCATTACCGCCTCAGCTCCACCTCAGATCATCAGGCCTAAGATTCTCCTAAGGAGCAGGCAACCTAGATCCCTCAAACACAGTTCGCATTAGGGTTTTAGTTCCTGTGAGAATCTAGTGCTGACTCTGATCTGACAGGGGGCAGAGCTCACTCAGTAATGCAAATGATGAGGTGCAGCTGTAAATACAGATGCTTCACTCACTTGCCCACAGCTCACCTTCTACTGTGCAGCCTGGTTTCTAATTGATCATAGACCAGTACCTGCTCCAGGGAATCCTAATGTTCAAGATTAAAGTCTAAAGTCTTCAACCACATCCTCACATCTCTCCATGATCTGGTCTCAAATGCTCCTGTCTTAATTTTTTCTATTCTGCATGTAAGTTATGATGGCATCTTACCAGTAGGAGTTTTCACAGAACCCAGAGATTAAAACAGAAGGAAACTGTAAGGACTGGTCAGATACAAAGAAAGAAATGATGTTGCTTTTAGTGACAAGACTCTGGCTGAGGGGGAAAGAAAGGGACTGGGAGAAGAGAAGAAAAAGAGATTTGCTAGGAAAGAGCTTATAATGAGAGAAAATAATTTTATCTCAATAATGCATTCAAATTTAAACTTTAAAAGTAAAAGTCAAGGGTCCAGCAGGTGGCATAGTGGCTAAGGCACCAGACTCCCACATGGCTACCCACAGTTCAAGTCGCAGACCCAGAGGCTAGAAACACTCCAGGAACATGGGCATGCATGCCCTAAATCCCAGGAGGAGAATAGAGGAGAACAGATTATGGCATAGCCATCCCCCCTAGACGGTTGATTTCTCACTTTCTCTCTCTTGGTTTCTCTGGGGAGCATACACGCCTTATAAAAAAAGTCTCTATAAATAAATAAATAAAAATAATAAAAGTCAGACCAGCTCTACACCCTAATGGTTAAGCGAGCCAGATCTTATATGGTCAACTGTGGTGCTAACCTTAGCTTCATTGACTTAAAAAACATCCCAGGAGCATGTGCATACTTGCCAAAAATTTTGATAGGGTAGAGAAATAGAGAAGGGATGGGATTGCAGTGTGACCACACCCCACTAGGGAGTGCTTCTCCTTTCCCACCCCACCCCCACCCCCATCTTTCTCCCTCTGTCTCTCCTCTCTCCGACAAGTACATGTACCTTCTGGGAGTTAATAAATAAATAGCTAGATAGATAAATAAACAAATAAATATCAGAGGCCAGCTTTGTGGTGCAACAGAAATGCATTGCTCAATCAATGCTGCATCCATGTGGAAGACTGGGTTTAGTTCTAAGTTTCACACACTGGGCATGCACACTCATGATCCTGGCTGACTGGGAAGCCTAGAGTGGAAATCATGAGACTATTAAAGAGGGAACTTATCTTTCTCTTTCTCAATAAATAAAAATCAGAAAAAAATTAGTAAGATTTTTAGCTCATATAGTACTTGATCTAATATTTCTCTGTGATTATTTATAACAATAACTTATTTATTCATCAAACATTTACTGAGTGCCTACACTGTTTCAGAGTCTTTAGAGACACAGAGGTAAACATAATGGATGTGACCCTATAGAATTTAATAAAAACTAAAATGATAGTACTGTAATGATGTGGTTAGGTCAAGCTCTGTCTATGATTTGCACTCACTCATCCACACTCCAATTCAACAGAGCAGGGACTCTAACTAGATAAGGCTATTCTAGGATTCATTGGCAGATTTCCCATCTACCAGGTTTTGCTTGTCTTTCTAAATCTAGTGATATCAATAAACCCTATTTAAAATTTCAGAGGGATGACTTGGTTTATCTCCTTGTTAATGTTCTTGTTCTTTCTCTTATAACATTATTTTCAACTTTTTCTGAGATATCTCCAGTTGCACCTTTAAACAAGAGTAATGTTTAGCCTCCACAAGAATTTCAGCTTTACGAAAGATGAGTGTCATAGTGGAGATCTACTTGGTTGACAACAACAGAAATCAGCTTAATTGAAAGAGGAATTTTATTTTAAGGATACAAGAGTAATTCATAAAACCAGGACATGAAGGCAACCAAGTTTCAGGAAGATCTAGAACTAAGACCTGAAAAGCCATTGGAAGCACAGATGGTAATGTCTCTTCATTTCTCTCCTTGTTTCACTACATACACCTACTTTTTTCTTCCCTCTCTTTAACTATCTTTCTCTGGACTGTTCCTCTGCTTGAGTTTTCACCACATCATTCACAGCCATAAAGAATTACCAGGTGTCACTGAATCCCACCTCCAAGTTCCTAGTAGTGAAACTCTGGCTCACCTTGGGTTTACCTCTTTCCAACCTCCAACAGTGACAGAGGATTGGTATCCATAACTCAAGCATGGCTGCCAGATCCTCTCCCTCAGAGGGGAACATGAGCTGGAAGATCATCCAGAAGGCATCTGCCACACCAGGAAAAATGTGAGATTCCACAGTCACCACACACTGAGAAATTTATCATTCAAGATGCAGGTAAGTTACAAGTTTCTCTCCTGGAAAGCAATAGAAAGGAAGAATAATACGATTAATAATTCAATGCAACATCTCTCTCCATCTAAACTTTAGCACTAGAGTAGCATTTTTTGAACTTTCTGGTCTCAATGCTCAGTCACGATCTTAATAATTAATAGCCCCTGAGACTAGGAGGTGGTATGGTGATGAAGGTACTAGATTTTCATGTTTGACTGTGTTCAAGTCTTGGACCAGGTGGCTTGAAAATCACATCAGGCACTGCAATGTGGCCATCCTTCTTGGGGGGGTGATTTCTCACTTTCCCTCTCTCTGGCAGGCACATGTATCCTGTATACAAAATAAATAAATAAATAAATAAATGTCCCAAAGAACTTTTGTTTATGAGGTTATATCTATTGATATTTATAGTATTAAATGTTAATACTGTAAAATTCTTGATTTATTTGTTCATTCATTTTAAAATAAAAATTAACACATTAAATAATATGTATTTATGAAAAATAGTTGTATTTTCCAAAACAAAAAATTACTTGGCTAGTACAGTAGCATTGTTTTGAATTTTCATAAATCTTTCTTGATGTCTAGCTTCATAGACTAGATATATACTCATGTCACCTACTTTCTCTCTGTTGTGATCTCATACATCATGTACCTTCTGAAAAATTCCACAGTATGGTCTTGAAATATAAGAAAAAGGAAAGCAAGAATGTCTCAGTCTTATTATGAAGATGCTTTTGACCACATATGCCACTGAGAATCTTTTTCCATTGGTCTCCAGACCACGCTGAGAACTGCTGCACTGGAGATTGTCTGTCATCTGCATGTAATAGACATCTAAGTTAAACAAACTGTTTGGTTTTATAGGAATAGCTTCTTTCTGTCTCCATATAAACAGACTCAGCCAATTTGACTCACTACATTAATCACATTAATTTGATTAATCTATGAGTCAATTAAATTTGATTAATTTAATTGATAAATATATAGGATGTGGCAGTTACTGAAAACAACTTTGCCGAAGAGCAGATCTGAAATTAAAACCTGGCTCCTTCACAAGTTAGCTGTGTGATGTAAAGCATAGCCTTAAAGCCTCAGTATCCCCATTTTTATAAAGGAATGATGATGACACTTTTACTTGGGGTGTGAAGATTTAATGAAATTGTAGCAAAATGCTTAACATAATACCACATATTAGGAATATTTAATACATTTGCTGTTCTTTTTTTTTTTTTTTTTGTTACTTAGCACATCTGTGCTTAGTCATTAACTATGAATCTCTCCTGGGCCAGCCAGCGGCGTGGAGGTTAAGGCTGCTAGATCACACATGGTCGATTGTGCAGTTCAAGTCCTGGACTTGGCAGCTTGAAAATATGTGTATGTAGGGTCAGAAGGTGACTTGATGGTTAAGGCACTGGACTCCCACATGGCCAACTGCAGTTCCTGTTCTGGACCTGGCAGCTTGCTTTCTCACTTTCTGCTCTCTCGTCAAATTAAATAAATAAATGAAATGAAATAATTATTTTTTAAAAAGAAAGAGAAGAAAGAAAGAAAAAGGAAAAAAGAAAGACAAAAAAGAAAAGAAAGGAAGAGGAAGGAAGGAAGGAGAGAAGGAAGAAAAAGAAGAAAGAGAGTGAAAGAAAGAGAGAAAGAGAAAGAGGAAGAAAGAAAGGAAAAAGAAAGGAAAGAAGAGAAAGAAGGAAAAAAGAACAAAGGAAAGAAAGAAAGAAAAAGAAAGAAAGAAAGAAAGAAAGAAAGAAAGAAAGAAAGAAAGAAAGAAAGGAAGGAAGGAAGGAAGGAAGGAAGGAAGGAAGGAAGGAAGGAAGAAGGAAAGAAAGAAGAAAGAAAGAGAGAAAGGAAAAAGAAAGAAAGAAGAAAGAGAAAGAAACACAGGTGTGTACATGCCCAAATCCTGAGAGGAAAATGGAGAAGGCATTGCAGCACGGCCGCCCCCATGGGGATGTGTACCCACTCCCTTTCATCTCTGTCTCTCTCCAGCGAGTGCAGGTGCCCTACAACAAAATTTTTAAAAATAGATCTCTATGTTTAGAGAATTAGTCCTACAGGTGATAGCTTATGTCTTATATTCTAGGTGTCCCCAACCTACAGAAAAACATACCAAATAACTACGCCATTAAGATGGCTATTGGGTGCACAATGTTCTTGGGGCAGCTCGAGAAGGAAATCTGAGGTCACTCTGTCTTCACATGGCCAACTTAAAAAGTCACCAGTTTCTCTAAGGTGTTCTGGAGGATGCCTTTAAGGGACTAGATGGAAAAACTCAAAATATATTTAGACTTAGTTATAGTCATCCTAAATTTATTCCCAAACTTTATTTTGAACCTTGAGCTACAGATTTGTTTCTTGGAGTCTTAAATAAATTCTATCTTTGGGCTTAAAAAAAATATAGCTTTCTGATTGGTTACTAGCAAATTCACCTGTTCTATCTAAATATTATTTTCATCTGTCCCAAATTAACAGAAAAAAAGGAAATGAGAAAGAAGGGGTTTAAAATTTCTTGTGTAGCTTTTGGGGCCTCATCAAATCCCACATAAAATATTAAGTAGTTAGAGAAAATGGATCCCTAAGTCCCTGAGTCCCTCTCTGGCTTACCTACAAATTTCTTTACCCTCGTTTTGGGTTTGTTTGTTTGCTTGCTTGTTTGTTTTTTAGAGAGAGATTTTTGCTATAGAGTGCATGTGCTTGCTGGAGAGACAGAAAGAGAAACAGAAAGCAAGAAATCGTCCCCCAGGGGCATGGCTGCACCACAATCCCTTCTCTTACATTCTACACACACACACACACACACACACACACACACACACACACACAAACCCACACATGGCATGAGTTCTAAGTCACCAGGTGCAGGACTCCAACTGCAGTCAACTACAGGAGAGTCCAGCGATGTAACCATTACGCCATTTGCTGGCCCCACGTTTGTATTTTTAATTTGCTAGAGGATGAATGTGCTCTTTGGAAAGGAACAAACAGAGATGGGGAGAGATAGAAATAGAGACAGAGAGAAAGAAAGAGAAAGTGAGAAAGCACCTACCATGGGGAATGATCACATCACAACCCTTTCTCCTCCATTTCTCCCTCCTTTTGGGATTTTGGGAATGCACACGCATGTGCCCGATGTCTCTTTCAAGCTGCTATGTCCAGGACTCCAACCATGCAGTTGGTCATGTGGGATCCAGCTGCCTTAACCACCATGCCACCAGCCAGCTCTGAAAATATGTAAGTTATTTAATTTTCTTTACCCAATACCAGTATTTCCTTATAAAATGAAATAGAAAAATATTTCCTTGAGCGCATGCTGGGTGGTCACAGGCAGTAAGTCTTTTACAAGAGACAATTATTTGCCTAAGACAGAACAGGATAACATGTTATGTGGCCACTAATAAGTTTTATCCAGGTTCTGCTCCCCACT